TGCATGCATCTGATGAAGTGGGCTTTAGCCCATGATAGCGTATGCTCAAATAAATTTTGTTAGTCTCTAAGGTGCCACAAATACTCCTCGTTCTTTTTGCTGATACAGACTAACATGGCTACCACTCTGAAACCTGATATTAAATGATTTACCAAAATCTATTCTGCAATGGGGAAAAAAATAAATTTAAAAAAATCACTGATTAATGCTCAGTACTCAGGTTACCTTAGTCCACAGTTTTTAGCAGTTTAAATCATAAGAGAGTTTACAAAAACAAACAAATATAGAACATGCTTTTGTACTCTTAAAAATCTTTTTATAAAAAATGTTTGTTTTTTTGACAGCCATATTCTGATCATGGAGTTCAAGCAGCATATCACCAAGTTTATGCCCAGAGTGCCATAGCTATGCAAGCACCTGTGATGCAGCATGAGCCAGTTAAAGTAAGCTCTGTCGTCTTTTTCTTTTCTTTTGGTCTTATGTACTGCCAGGTGGTAAGTAAGGAGGACAAGAATGTTGCAGAGGAGCTAAACTATTTCTTTGCATTAGTCTTCACCACAGAGGATGTTGGGGAGATACTACCTTGGAATTATTCTATTCAGATAATAGATATGAGACACAGTCATAAAATAAGATGTCAAATGAGGAAAAGCTGGAAATAATTGATAAATTAAAGAGTAACAAATCACCAGGATTTCTGAAGATGGAGGCTATCTGAAGAAACTTAATAATGAAATGGCTGAGCTGCTAATAAAAATATGCCATCTTTTATGAAGATCAGCTGCTATTCCAGAGGACTAGACGCTAGCAAATGGCAATACTTGTCTTTAAAAAAGACTTTAGGGATGGTTCAGGGACTTATAGACTAGTGAGCCTTACTTCTCTAGGAGAAAGTTGACTGAAACAATAATTAAAAATAGAATTTTAAAATATATAGCTGAACATGCTGAGAGAGAGAGAGACAGACAAGCACAGCTTCTGTATGACAAAATCATGCCTCTAATATACCAGCATATTTTCAAGATGTTAACAAAGTAAAGGGTAAAGGCTCTGATTGGTTTTGTCTCTGCAGTGGCCCCCTTGTAGCCCATCAGGGTACAAATCACCCAGCTGCAGGTTTCCACTTGTAAGTTTGCTCTTTTGTGAGGTCCAGTGTAGTGGTGTGTTAACCCTCCAGCCAAAGCAAACTTCAGTCTTCCTCCTTTTGGAGTGTTATGGTCCAAAAGAAATCAGGAAAAACCACAACTTCACAACAACGGGTATCCAAAGAACCCTCAGTGGGACCCCACCTTTATATTTGGGGCTTATCTTCAGATAGTATTTTGGCTGGTCTCCCAGAGTCTGGTCATTCATTCCACCAGTAGGCTTGTCCAACCAGCAAGCTACCTTAGTCTTCGGCTGCAGCCAGACTTCTTTCACATCAGGAGAAGCAGACCTCTGCTCTCCTAGATCTCCTCTTTTTAGCTCCCCTCTCTATGCCTGGCATCTGCTGCAGGTTTAATAGGGCAAGACCAGCTGGGTCCACAGGCTCTCATTAATACTTTCCTTTTCAGTGAACAATAAGATGTCAAAACCAAAATAATTTGAGTTAGCTCAAACCTGAAAAGACTTCAAGGAGGAACTTCAGAGGCACCTAACAAAGTTAGGCAAATGAACTGCACAGTGTGGCAGATGGAATTCAGTACTGGCAAATCCAAGGAGTAATGCATACTGGAAGGAATAATCTGCTGGGTTCTAAATTAACTGAAACTACTGAGAAAAAAGACCTTGGTGTCAGTGTGGCCAGTCATTAGAAACCTCTGCTGAATGTGCAGTGGCATTCAAAAAAGTAAACATAACATTAGGATGTATAAAGAATGGGTTAAAAAGAATACTGAAAATATTACATCATGATATAAATGCTATTGTTATCAAAAGTGATTAATGATTTTGAGTGTCTTAATTTTTGGGTGCCTAACTTGAGATATGTTAAAGGATCTTTAGGGTACTCAGCATTTTCTGAAAATTATGCTTCTTTGGGCGTCTTAAACTGGGCACCCAAAAATTGAGGTGCAGCAAGTAACTAATTTCTTCATGGAACAAAGAACAGGCACTGCTTTAGCCTGAGGGTATTTCCCCCTTCCAAATATCAAAGGACTCCTACAAACAAATGAGCTGTGAGATCATCTCAAAGAAAAGGTCGCAAGAATCCTTCATAATGCAAAGTATGTTAGGCAACTTAATTTAGGGGGTAAATACCAGCTCCCCCCATAATGAATGGTATAAAGAACAAAAACAAGGGGCTATCCAATGAAATTGAAAAGTAACATTTAAAACAGAAGTAAAAGGAAATACTTTTTTACACACTGTATTATTAACATGTGGAACTAATTGCCACTAAATATCATTGAGGCCAAGAGTTTAGTAATAATGCAAAAAGTAATAAATGTATGGCTAATGAGATCATCCACAGTTGTGTTAGATAGGTTTAAAGACAAATTAGATGTGATATAACTCTGTGCTTCAAAGCATAAAGCAACCAGTAACTTTCTGGGTTAGGAAGGGATTTATCCTTAAGGCAGGTTAGTCTTTAATTGTCCATTTTGAGGTTTCTTACATTTCCTCTGAAATGTCTGGGACTGGCCACTGTCAGAAATAAGGGTCTGGGACTAAAGGAATCACTGGTCTGATTTGGTATGACAGTTCCTGTGAAAACATAATAGCACTTTACATCATCAAAACTCAGAACAAACATCAGTTAATGAAAGATTAAAATAATTGTATGTTTGTTGAGTGATGATCCATTTGTGTATTCTACACGTGGAATATGCATGCATGCCATGTGCCCGAGTCCAGAAATTCTTCAACGCAATATTCATTGACCCGCACATGCTCAGTAGCTTCCCTCATGCTCCCAACCGAGAGTATAAGAGGCAATATGGGTAGACACCTCTTCAGTTCCTTCTTATCAGCACATGACCTGAGTCAGAATTGTGTCCTCCTTCACTCTGCGCATAACCTGTAAAGTAAACTCTTTGTAAATAGTTTTTATATCTTAGCTTAGTAGTTATAGTTAGTTAGTATAGAATAGTTCCCCCACCCGCCATTCAGGGAAAATGTTCCCCAGTCCCAGGACTATGCTCAGAGTCCCGGGATTCAAAAATTGCATCTCCTGCCCTCACTCCTTCTCCATCAATGACGAGCATCAATGGTGCCTGTACTGCCTGGATGACGCACCTATGTCTTTGAAGTTCAGTATCTGTCAATCCTTCGCAACCAGAATTAGAAAGATCAGAGCTCTGACTAAAAGCGTTCCTGATGGAGGAGACTGAGACCTTGCTCTGACCTGGACCTGGAAGACCCTCCCTCTGTGTACATCAGTCTCAACCAACCAGCAGTGCCTCTCCAAGCACAGGCCTTGAAAACTCTTTGAAAACTCATGGCGATCCCAGATTGAAAACTCAGGCGATCATGGCGATTAAAACTCATGGAGGTCCCGGATGACTGGAAAAAGACTAATGTAGTGCCCATCTTTAAAAAAGGGAAGGAGGAGGATCCGGAGAACTACAGGCCAGTCAGCCTCACCTCAGTCTCTGGAAAAATCTTGGAGCAGGTCCTCAAGGAATCAATTCTGAAGCACTTAGAGGAGAGGAAAGTGATCAGGAACAGTCAGCATGGATTCACTAAGGGCAAGTCATGCCTGACTAGCCTAATTGCCTTCTATGATGAGATAACTGGCTCTGTGGATGAGGGGAAAGCAGTGGACATGTTATTCCTTGACTTTAGCAAAGCTTTTGATACGGTCTCCCACAGTATTTTTGCCAGCAAGTTAAAGAAGGATGGGCTGGATGAATGGACTATAAGGTGGATAGAAAGCTGGCTAGATCGTCGGGCTCAACGGGTAGTAATCAGTGGCTCCATGTCTAGTTGGCAGCCGGTATCAAGCGGAGTGCCCCAAGGGTCACTGGGGCCGGTTTTGTTCAATATCTTCATTAATGATCTGGAGGATGGTGTGGACTGCACCCTCAGCAAGTTTGCAGATGACACTAAACTGGGATGAGTGGTAGATATGCTGGAGGGTAGGGATAGGATATAGAGGGACCTAGAGAAATTGGAAGAATGGGCCAAAAGAAATCTGATGAGATTCAACAAGGACAAGTGCAGAGTCCTGCACTTTGGACGGAAGAATCCCATGCACTGCTACAGACTAGGGACCGAATGGCTAGGCATCAGTTCTGCAGAAAAGGACCTAGGGGTTACAGTGGACGAGAAGCTGGATATGAGTCAACAGTGTGCCCTTGTTGCCAAGAAGGCTAACGGCATTTTGGGCTGTATAAGTAGGGGCATTGCTAGCAGATTGAGGGACGTGATCATTCCCTTCTATTTGACATTGGTGAGGCCTCATCTGGAGTACTGTGTCCAGTTTTGGGCCCCACACTACAAGAAGGAGGTGGAAAAATTGGAAAGAGTCCAGCGGAGGGCAACAAAAATGATTAGGGGGCTGGAGCAGATGACTTATGAGGAGAGGCTGAGGGAACTGGGATTGTTTAGTCTGCAGAAGAGAAGAATGGGGGGGGGATTTGATAACTGCTTTAAACTACCTGAAAGGGCGTTCCAAAGAGGATGGATCTAGACTGTTCTTGGTGGTAGCAGATGACAGAACAAAGAGTAATGGTCTCAAGTTGCAGTGCGTGAGGTTTAGGTTGGATATTAGGAAGAACTTTTTCACTAGAGGGTGGTGAAGCACTGGAATGCGTTACCTAGGGAGGTGGTGGAATCTCCTTCCTTAGAAGTTTTTAAGGTCAGGCTTGACAAAGCCCTGGCTGGGATGATTTAGTTGGGGATTGGTCCTGCTTTGAGCAGGGGGTTGGACTAGATGACCTCCTGAGGTCCCTTCCAACCCTGATATTCTATGAAGAACCTTTACCACCAAAGCCCAAAAAATCCTCCTACAAGGCTTCCCACGAGAGTAAGGACACTAAACTGGGCGTAAGAACAGATTCCCACAGATGATTGTCCATAAGGCACGCGTTTCCTTCCTTAGGTGGTCCAGCTTGGGTGAGGTGTCACATATGGAACTGGCTCCGCCGAAGACCCCCAGGGCTGCAGGACTGAAGTGGAAAGACATACACTCTCCAGTCCCATCTATGAGTACAGGTCCAGATGCATCATCGGTACAATCTTGTTTATCCAAAGACTGACTGGCTGTGACAGACAATCCCCATCCTTCAGGTGTTTCTGCTGGAACTCCCCAGACTCTCGGCCATACGGAGACCTTTGTACAGCATAGGATATATTCCATTCCTCCCCACAGTCTCCACTCCCTTCAGGCTATCCCCTCCTGAGGGACATCCTTATCCCAGAGGAGTAATCGTTACTGACATCCCAGGAGCAGTTACATCTCCATCCATCGGGCAGGCGCACCCAATACTGATGGTACCACCACTGTGGACTTGGAATTGCA